ATGCCTACTTTTATAAGATACACTACTATAAGTGTATAGTATTTGGAACTTAAAAAATGTTCAATTTATATCCAAAAGATACCAATATAGTTTGTTTAGCGTGAAAGATCAGAGCCAAAATAGGGTTGCAAATAATTTTATTTATGTAAAATCAACACCAATCCTTTTATTTCAAAATAATTACAACCCCATTTTGTTTTCGATCTTTTACATATTGTAATAAAAGAAAGAAATGGAATCCATAGTTTCTTTAGCTTTGGGTTCATCTAATAAGTGAAGTTTTTCGAATTGTTTTTTAAGATTTTTGGATTAAAGGCATTTATGAGCACAGTACAATATCTTGTACTTTTCAATTTTACACAGCTGGCGTATACAATTCGATATTGTTTTGCGGGCTGTTTTGTCGTAATTCATAGAATTTCGTTGTTTCTTGCTAAATGTACGATAAGTGGTGATTTGATATCAACTTGGAACTTTAAAACTCCATGGACTATGACTTTGAACCCGGAAAACAATATCGATCCAATATATTAGATTATCCATTTACAAAACTGTATTTCCCTTTTTACAAATAGAAAAACGTTTGGAAAAGTATTTTAAATAAAATACAAAATGGTTTTCTCAAAAAAGTATTTAAATGCAAGATAAAAATAGGTTATTTTATTTTGTATTTGCAAGTTTTTCAAATAAATCACATATCTGTTAGTCCGTTATAAGCATCGGTTCGTACGTTATAAGCGTGTACGTTATAGGTAGACTTTACTGTATATTTATTTTTTTAAATTTGAAAGCGTTTAGGGTTGGTATACGGTGAGTATACGGAGAGTGGTTAGGGTTGTGTTGAATCGGAAGAGTTCGACCCCGTAAACTACAGTGACAGAATCGGACAGGTGTGACTTGATTCGCGTACACCCGGTGTGTTACATACGTACTTACAGAATAGGATTCGCGTAACCCATTATAAGTTATTCGAATTCTTTTTTGGCCGTGTAGCAAAAGGCATCGGCACCTGGATCCTCACCCCTCTCATACTTGTTTTAAACACACATCTTTGACATAAAAAACCGGCTCGAATGGAACATTTAGGGATGTCGAGTGAATGGGGTAGCATAATGGAATCTGAGACGCGCCGCAGTCGTACCCCTAACGTACCCTTTTGATACGCAATGATGCTGCAACCTTTAGGTTAACGGTTTACTCATCTTGCCTCCTGGCCTAGTCTCTGCTAGATCTAATAACCAGTGGAACAATTTTTACACTGGCAAATAACGTACCCTATCACGTTTCTGACCTAATTTTTTTTTCGTATGCTTTCAAGATGTTGTTTTGGGAAGAAAATGAACACATGACTATTTTACCTTTATATGTTTTTTTTTCAATATTGGTACCATACTGTGACGAATTATATTATTAGCAATTTAGGTCGATGAAATCTTAAGAAAACATTAATCAATTCATTAATAAGGAACTGCCCATAAACCATATGACAATGTTTTAGTCACTTTCTGACACCTCTCCATCTACATTTCGTACCCCCGCCCCCTCTGGTCTTAACATTTTTGAAATATTTTCAAAATAATTTTTTTTTTAATGTAATTCTTTTATTAAATTTGTTTTTGCGTATCAATGTAGTCATGTGGTCAAATGAAAATTCCTATTTGTCCAGACACCTTTCTATTAGCTCCCTGTACATGTTTTTAACTTTCAAAGTATTTTCATTTGACTAATACGGAGCAGGTTTGCCAGATGATGTAAGCGATAATTTTTTATTTGTCTGACATTCTTATTTCTTTATTATTTATCTACGTTTTGACGAAGATTTGATAATGTTATATCGTGTCATGGTTATGAGTGTTGTAGTTTTGCTTGCTGTAAACGTTTTACTTATTATTCAGTAGAAATGGCTGGAATATAAAATTTACATTTATGATGCTTCCTTTTAGGTAAATTGTTTTGTTTTACAATAACAATTTAATAATTTTCATCGTTATTAATTTAAACGAATGTTTCTACGGTAACTTAGAATAAAAGCTGCGATTGTACTTTTACTTCTTCTTATATAACAATAAAACAAATCGAAAGGACTTAAAAATATTTGATAATCTTGGAGTTTGGTTCTTTACTTGACAATTGCTCTTTGTTTTGATTTGGAATTTTCCGTTTTTTGTTATTACTGAATGTCGTAGATGCCATTTGTTCAAATACGCCCCGCAATGCCTATGCCTTTGTGACTGCCTTTTGTGGAAAAATTATCGATCAAATTCATTTGTACGTTTTTATATTTTGTTAAATTTACAGAATTAAAATTATTTACTTTATTTTTTTTTTAAACATGAAATGTTTTTTTTTTTACATTATCAGCCGATTTAATTTTAATAATTTCATTTATGAAGATTGGAAAAACTTTACCGGTTGTTATAGAACAAACAGAATAGCTCAAAACCCCAACGCCAAAACAATGATTGACGATTTTTCGAAAGCTACAACCTTAGGTTTCACGANTTTAATCGGACCTCGTATGGGTCGCGAAACTGAAAATTTTCGTAAATTTCAACATTTGTATTAGGAGAGCATAAGTCGCATAAGGTCTTTTTCGGAGTTTTAGCGCGGGACAAATTTATACAGTTTTTCCTTCTATTTCTCGATATAGTTCAGCTACTTAGCACATGATGGCACCAGCAGTACTAAATTGTAGCAATTTGTAGAATATTAATTAATTCATATATGGGCCGCATGAGGGAACTTTTCAATATGTTAATTATGGATTATATTTTTTAAAAAATGATCATCGTTATATTTAATAAATGAAACGCTGTTTATATTAATAAAATTTACTTCGTATTTCAATTACATATCACTTGCACTTTACATGAAATAGAATTTATTTAAGGATAAACTCCTTGTCGCCAATTAATAGTATTTACAATAAATGCAATGCACATCAATAGGCAGTGTACACTTTTATGTAATGATTTTTCTGTATAGATATTTATGGAGACGTTTACTTAAGTGGACATCAGCCTGAATCCTTCCGTGTTGAAGCAATGCTTGATTAGCAGTACCTGTGCTTTCGTGGTGGTTATATGTATGGGTAAAGTAAAAAATTATGCAGAAAGGAAATACCATTTTTCATAAAAATCGTATTCGAATAATTTAGAAAAGCTGCCTTGTTTGATTGCAAATTTTAAAATGCCTACTTTTATAAGATACACTACTATAAGTGTATAGTATTTGGAACTTAAAAAATGTTCAATTTATATCCAAAATGATATCTGAAAAAAACAGTCTTATTAATTTATTTCAATATTTTGTTTTATAATAATTCACACATTGAGATGAACTTTGTTACTAAAAAAACAAACATCAAGTACCTTTTTTACATTTTAATTAGCCGCAATACAGCTTCTAAAGCCATTGCATTCAAAATTCGATAGCACATTATATTATCATTTAAAACTGCTAATATAATCTATTTACTAACTTAATTTCCTTACATCTATCTGTTTTGGGTAACAACCATCCCATCACAAAATTACTTAAATAGAAAATACACTTTCAAAGTAGAGTACCAAATTATAGTTTAATTTTTTCGTTGCACATCTCAGATTGAAAGCGTATTTGTTATTTGATTAATTTTGTGACTCTATCAGAAATTGGGTCCAGCTGATTTCTAAGAATGTTGAGGAAGCTAAAGAAGGACTTGTGTCTGTAACAGTAAGAAATCAACTCTCCATCGACTTTCGAAATTCAGGAATTTACCTTCACATTAGTAACAACTCTTTTTTATTAAAGCTTTTAAAATTAACTTATTAAATAAAATTATGGAGATAATTTGAAGGAAAGGAGATGTACCTTTACAACAGGGAGAAATCACCTAAATCTTCGAATTATATTGTTGTAAAGGCTGAAGAGGACCTTAATTGGTCATAGAACGGCCTGAGGTAGAGGGGTTTTAGTCGGTAGGTCCGAGGACAGGGATCCGACACTACCCAGTCATACGGATGTCTTTTGAAGATTTCCCCTCTTCCACGAAAACATAAAAAAAAATTGTAAATTTCAGGTACCTGATTAATGACTTGAAAATTAAATACTTCTTAAGAAATAAGTTGTTTAATAATTCTTTGAAATATTTATTTGCATTTGAGGAAACTTTTTATTTATAAATTTAATTAAGTAACTACTTTT